CATCCGGGACCGCCGAGGACGCCGTCAGGTTGGCGAACTCGGACGCCCAGCCCGCGTGGCCCGCATCGGAAGTACGCAGCGCCTGCAGCGTGGCCTCAGCAGCCCGCCCAGCGGCTACGGTGCTGCCACGCTGCGCGTGCCGGAGGCTGCGCAAACGCTTGAGTCGCAGCAGCGACGCGTCCGCAGCAGCATCTGCAGCCTCCCCGCCGCCGCCTCGCGCGCTGGGCCGCTCTGCTTTCCAAGTCGCTGCAGCGTGCGGCCGCTCCGCAACCGTCGCCCTGCCCTGCCTGGCCGAAAGCCACGTGCGCATCGCCAGGCTGAGTTCCCTCCAAGCGGCGTCAAGGTCGTGCCGGCGCAACGCGCACTGGTAGGGCTCCTCATGGTTGGCCCTGATGGCCTCCATGGCGTCTCTCCCCAATGCCGGCGTCCAGCCATCCACAGCAGAGCCGTCAAGCCGGACCACGGGCTCGCGCATCATGGCCATCTCCGCCGCCTCCACCCTCAGGGTCAGCGTCAAGGCCGCGTGCGTGGCGAGTCCGAGGTCCCAGCGGAGGCCCGCGGCCCGTACGATGCCAAGCGCCTCCGGGCTGGCCAGGACGTAGTCGATCCGCGACGGCGCGCCCTGGGACGGGAGGCATGTCGGCCCGGCTGCCGCCAGCAGGTCGCGCCACCCCGCCATCGCCAACAGCCCGTCCAGGCCCGAATCGGCGAGCCTGCAATATTGAGGTCGCCCACGAGGAATGTTGGGACGTTCCCCAAACCTCTGAGCCACTCCACGCCCTCCAGGACGAGGTCTGCGTTCCGCTCGGCATCAGCGGAGCCCCCTGCATAGCCATAGCAATTCATAAAATGAATCGCCCGGCCACTCCCGAAGTGCATCGCCACATGCTGCAGCCGGCCCGGATGCCGCCCCGAGAGCCCAAGGGGCGGGTCCGCGCGCGCGGCGCCGCACCCGGGGCGATGGGCAGCCGCCAGCAGATGCTCCCCGGCGCTGGCAGGCCCAGGATACAGCTGCATGCCACGCGCCCTGGCCGCGGCCACGGCCGCGTCCGCGTCCGCCTCCGGGATCCGGGCCTCCTGCAGGCACCACGCGTCGGCGCCGGCCGCGAGAAGGCCCCGCCAACTCGCGCTCCAGCGCGTGACGTTGGCGACGAGCACCGTGACCTCGCGAGGTGCTGGTGCGGAAGCCGGCCCAGGGTGTGCGGCCTCGCCCACGCGGATGCCTCGCCACGGCCATCCGCTCCACCGCGCAGCCAGCGCGAGCCGCCCGCCACACGCACGAGCCAGACGCAAGAGTTTTTCGAGCCGCGTCCAGCTGTGGATACGAGGATGCACGGATTCTTCGAGCCGCGTCCAGCCGTGGATACGAGGGCCGGGGAACCCGGGAACCCTGGACCTGGGCAGGGCGCCTGCGGGGGCTTCATCGCCTCAGCCTGCGCGAATCGCCAGGCAGCGCAACCTGCCGGTGTGGCCAGCGCAGGCCGCCTGGCCCGGGCGCCCGCCACGGTGGCTACAGCGGGCCGCCCGCCGCCAGCCGGCGAGAACCGCCCGCCACACCTCACGCGCCGCCCGCGGCCCGCCGCTCGGCGCTCCGCGAGCGCCCCCGCCGGCCTGGGGAGGACGGAGTGGAGGAGGCACGCGGGCGGCCCAGGCTGTGCCTGAGCGTGACCTGCCGCCTGGCCTCCGCAGCGTGGTGTGCGGAAGCGACCTCGCGCCGCGATCTGGGCGCGGCTCCGCGGTCCGCAGCGCCGCCGGGTCCTGCGCCAGCAGGCGGCACGGCGCCGGGCGCTGCGGCGGCTTCGGCGCCCAGGCTCCCTGGCGGCGCAACGCCCGGAGCCGCGGCGGCAGCAGGAGCGCCACCCGTTGCCGCCTCCGCGGCTGCGACGCCGGCTTCGGGCATCGCGGAGTCGACGGCGTCGCCCGGGCCCGCCGCCGCACCGCCGGCTGCAGCTGCGGGACCCTCGCGCCCTGCAGGGGCCAGCAGCGTTCCAATTGTAACACACACAATAAAGATCAAGTTATGAGTTGCTCACAGCGGGGACTTATTGTGAGAGTGAGCCGGACAGCAACAATGAGACCCTCTGGAGAAAGAATAGTATCCTGGCGGTGAGCCCGACCCTATGCAGTTGTGAGTGCCGTCGTTGCCGGTATCGCCTTCGGGTGATCTCCTCATGCCGCCATGAAGCGTGCGAAGGGCGTGCCGATGTATCAAACGGGAACGCCATGTGGGCGGTGCCACTGGGGCTGTAGACGGGACCCATTATGGGGCCGCGAAGCGCGTGAGGGGTGCACCGCAATGGGGCGGGGCCGCCACTGAGGATTTCGGTGGAGCTCCCTATGGGACAACCAAGCGCTGTGCTGGGTGGGGGAAACGCGTGTGAACACCGCCACTGGGCCCTTCGCTAGAGCTCCCTACGGGGCCACGACATGCTGTACTGGGTGGGGGAGACGCATGCGAACGCCGCCACTGGGGCCTTCGGTTATGGGTCCATGAAACGTTGTACTGGGCGTGGGAGACGCATGCGAACGCAGCCACTGGGGCCTTCGGTGGAACTCCACGAAGCGTTGTATTGGGTGGAGGGAAAACGCATGCGGACACCGCCACTGGATCCTTCGCTGGAGCTCCTTACGGGACCACGAAACGCCGCCACTGGGGCCTCCGGTGGAGCGCCTGATGGGACCACGAAGCGCTGTACTGGATGGGGGGGGCGCGTGCGGACACCGCCTCTGGGTCCTTCAGTGGCGCTCCCTGTGGGGCCACGAAGCGTTGTACTGTATGGGGGAAACGCATGCGACCACTGTCACCTGGGCCTTCACTGGAACTCCCTATTGGCGCCACGAAAGGTTGTACAGGGCGGGGCAGACGCATGCAAACGCAGCCCCTGGGGCCTTCGGTAGAGCTCTCTTTCGGGTCACGAAGCGCTGTGCTGTGTGGGGGAAACGCATGCGGACACCGCCAGTGGAGCTCCTTATGGGGCCACGAGGCGTTGTAATGAGTGGGGAAAACGCCTGCGGACACAGCTACTGGGGCCCTCGGTGGAGCTCCCTATGGGACCACGAAGCGTTGTACTGTATGGGGGAAACGCATGCGACCGCTGCCACTTGGGCCTTCGAAGGAGCTCCCTCTGAAGCCACGAAGCACTGTATTGGGCCTGGGGGACGCATGCGAACGCAGCCACTGGGGCCTTCGCTGGAGCTTCCTATGGGGCAGCGAAGCGTTGTACGGGGAAGGACAGGCGCATGCGAACGCAGCCATTGGGGCCTTCGGGAGAGTTCCTCATCAGGCCACGGAACGTTGTTATTGATTGGGGGAGAAACGCATGCGGACACCGCCACTGGATCCTTCGGTGGGGCTCCCTGTGTCACGGAACGTTGTACTGTATGGGGTACGCGCATGCGACCACTGCCGCTTGGGCCTTCGCTGGGGCTCCCTATTGGCGCCGCGAAAGGTTGTACAGGGCGGGGCAGACGCATGCAAACGCAGCCCCTTGGGGCCTTCGGTGGAGCTCTCTTTCGGGCCACGGCGCGCTGTGGTTGGTGGGGGAAACGCATGCGGATACCGCCAGTGGAGCTCCCTATGTGGCCACGAAGCGTTGTACTGAGTGGGGGAAACGCATGCGGACCCCGCCACTGGGGCCTACGGTGGAGCTCCCTATGGCGCCACGAAGAATGTGAGGGGTGTGCCGACATGGAATTCTGAGTACAGAGGCAAGGAGGGGGAGGAAGGAGGAGGGGGAGGGCGTGGCGCTGTCTCTTCAAAGCGAGGACCGAACACCACAGGATGGTTGGTTGGCAACCGTCGCCCTTATCGTTTTTTGTTGGTGCAGGAGCGGGGTGGGGAAGAGGAATCATCTATCATTGAGGGGGCGGTGGTGTTGCTGATTTTGCCAGGGGTGCAACACTTTTCTGGCCCCCTTTCGAAGGACACCTTTTGATGGGCGACTGATGTAATGTTTTTATTGTGTGCGTTACACATAAAGTCCTCGTGTACGGCTTTTCAGTCGGATTCCTTTTGTGGGCGCTGCACACGAGGAAACTCTTGGCAGCGAGTTACAACAAGGAGCGTAAAGGGTGTTCCACAGGAATCCCGTGCCATCCAGGTGAGTTTGAGCGCATGGCATTTCCTTATCTTTTCATCCCTCATCAAAGTTTAACCCAAGACATATTGATCTCAAAACGACGACGACGATACCGATGACGAAGACGACGTTATTGATCTCAAAATGACGACGGCGACAGTCGCGCAAAGTCTGCTGGGAAGCCGCTGCAACGGCGATGCGGCACGCGCGCTCGACGACGCGGTTCGAAGAACAACGTATGTTTACGCGAGTCCCTGTGCGTCGCAGGGACGCCGCCCAGCGGCGGTGAGATTGCATGGAGTGGCTGCGCACCGAACGCGGGATAGCTCGTTGCCTCAGGGAGACGGATCCCCAGTTCGCATCCTCAGCACTGCGGTACGGTGCGCGAGGGCCGATGCAAAGGCGATGCGATGCGCGCACGCGAAGCGACAACACGAGTAGCTCCCCGTAGCAACTTACCGACGCCTTGGCGATGCGTGCCCCAGCTTGCCACGAGGCGCGCGGGAGTGTTCGTTGCTTGGCGAGAGCGCTCCCCCGCGACGCGGCGCGCGAAGGCCGATGCAAAGTCCTCCACTCCGAGGGCAAGGATCGCCGTGAGGAGTGCGCCTTGGGTTTTGCAAAAGCTCTCGGAACAAGATTCCTGGCACGCCGAGGGCAAGGGTCTGCGTGAGGGGTGCGCCAAAATGGGGGGCGGCATAAAGGGGGCGCATAAGGAACACGGTGGGTATCTTGGGATCAAAATTCTTATAGGCTCCTAATTGGTAGGGCCAACAAACGCGCGAACATGTCAAGATACTGGGCGTGTCAACGTACTGGACGTGTCAACGTACTGGACGGTCCACTATGTCGCGCAGAGGCCTCCCAAAGCGCGGCGCGAGCTCTGGGGGCCTCTACGCTCCTCCTGCTCTGTTTGTTGCAGGGTCAGGCCGCGGGCGCGAGCTCGAGACGTTCACCCCTTCTCCTCTTCGCCTCCTGCAGCCCGCGCTCCCGCTCCTTTGCGTCGTCGTCGTCGTCGTCGTCGTCTCCTTCCTTCTCATCCAATCTCGTCCCCCAATCGTTCCCCAATGCCCGCCTCCAGGACTTCGGATGCTTTTTGGCGTTTTCATCGGTTCCTCGGAGGTTTGTCCGTGGAGCGGGCCATGAGCGAAAAAACAACGAATGCGTCCATTCTCTTTCGCGGGTCTCGAGATGTTGCATTGTGCGAGCGTCTGTAACACGTGGCTGGCTCCGCGGATTTGGGGCCGCATTCATCTATGTGGCTGGGCGCGTGCGTCTTGTGCGAGCCATCCATGGGGATCTACACGGGTTTCGGACGCTTTCTGACGTGCTGGTCGTTCTCCAGGGAGGTCATCTCCCGCCTGGGGATGATTTCCAGCAGCTGCACCTTGCCGTGAGTGCCAGGGGTGCCCTGAATCGTCCCGAACAGCCGCTCCTCCTCCTCCTCCTCCTCCTCCTCCTCCTCCTCCTCCTCCTCCTCCTGGAGGCCCGAGTCATACCCCGAAGAGCATCATAGAAGGGACAGATACGCAGACGTCGGTGTCAGTGCCTTCGCCGCGAAGGTTTTGTTGTGGTAGTCTTTGGAATGGCAGAGCGCACAGCTTGCGCATACACTTTCGGTTCCTTCTCCACTTCTCTTTTGCTTCTCGGGAATTAGGATACAGCCTGACTGCGTTGGAGCTTCCTTCTCCCTCCCCTCTCTCAGAATTTCCTCCCTCAGGTGTAGAAGGAGACGATCAGAAGTGGTGGGCGCCTGATGAGGGAGGAGTTGTGAGCCAGAGGGAAGGAGTTAGGAGGGGAAGGAGGACCAGAGGAGGAAGTACCCATGCCGCTTGAGATTCTGGTCAGAACGCATCCCCAAGGGAGGTCCGAGGAGTACGTAATATCGGCACTGCTATAGTGGTCCAAGAAGGGGGGAGATATTGTGATGATCGAGAGGATTACGGTGCTGGTGGCGATAACGGCATCAACGGTGATGGTGGCCATGACGGTGGTGATGTTGGTGGTTGGGGGCGCAGCAGCAGCCAGGGGTGTCCGCTGTTGCGTCGGTTCGTCTGCGTCGCAGTCGGTTGCGTTCGGTCGGCTCGGTCCGGTCTGGGGGGCTCCAGTGATGGTGGCGATAGCGGCATCTACGGTGATGGCGGCGATGACGGTGATGATGTCGGCGGTTGTGGCGCAGCAGCAGCCAAAGGTGTCCGCGGCTGGGTCGGTTCGTCTGCGTCGCAGCCGGCTGTGTTCGGTCGGCTCGGGCCGGTCGCCTGTTGCGTCCGTCGTTGCCGCGCCACCTGCGTCCTTCTCAGCGGCGTTCGCTCGACCCGGCCTCGGCTGGTTCCAGCTCCCCGGCATCCGACGATCTGATTCTTCAACGCGCGGCCCCCGGACCAGTTCTCTGTGAGCAGTCTGCTGCCCCAGATCCTTTTCCGAGGGCCCTTGGGCCCGATAGCGGGCCGCAGATGCAGACATCTGGGAAGAACCATGTTCGGATGCCTCTCCTGTGAGATCTGATTCTGACTGTGGCCTGCTAAATCCTGCTCAATCCCGCTCACTCCCGTACAATCCGGCTCACTCCCGCTCCTCCTCCGAAATCCGGCTTACTCCCTCGAAATCCCGCTCCATCCCGCTCGATCCGGCCGAATCCCGCTGAATGCGCGGCCCGATCCGGCGCAGCAGCCCCCCCCG